GGCGCCATTCCCGGTGGGTTCCCTCCCCAAACCCTGTGCTTTCTTTCCCAGGGCATTCTGCCTCCGAGGCTCATCCCTGGACTAGCAATCCCCTTTGGGATCCTCTGGTCAGAGGTGTCCTCTGTTAAAAACATCCCGAAGAACTAGGGATGTTAAGTTTCGGTTCATTGAATAGTCGATTAACCTCATGAATTCTTCTCGGTTAGTCGATTAATCTATAGTCCTGGGGGGAGGAAGGGCAGCCAGTGCACTCCAGCTCCACTCCTGAGGAGCTCCCTGCCATTCTGCACTGCTGCCTCTGTATCAGAGGCAGCATGGAGTGCCAGGTGGGAGCTGGGCCGCAAGTAGAGCCAGTTTAAAACCCAGCTCCCCTTGCAGACCAGCTGCCTGTCGCCCTGTGCTGCTGCCTCTGATACAGAGGCAGCAGCATGGGGTGATAGCAGCCCCTGTCTGGGAGCAGGGGCCTGAGCTGCTGGACCCGGCATGAGTCAGAACTGAGCCAGGCTGCCTGCCTGTCTGGTTCCTAATACATTTTAAATGCAGACCTGCAGTGGGGGTAGGTCCCGGACCCAGCGTGAGCCAGGACCGAGCTGGGCTGCTGGCTAGCCCACTAAAACATTTATTGGCAAAGGGAGGGGTGGGAATGCATGTAGTCTATAGCGTTAACCTATAAGCTTTTGCTTATCGGTTAATTGGCTACATTATTACATCCCTACTAGGAACTAGAGCCATCTACTTATCAAATGCTTGTAGTGGGAAAATGTGTCTGCCAACTGGTAGCAAATCCAGCAAGCGGCTTTCCTGTTGGAGTTGAAATCGCATGACATGGGGCCAGGGGTGGCCCTAGACTAGCTGCCAGCAACTGGCGCCTTAGGCGAACCATGCAATCGGCACCCCCCACCTCCAAACCCCTCAATGATATTGCGCTACCATTTGGCGCCCCATTTAACTTGGTGCCCTAGGCGACTGCCTAGTTTGGACGGGCAGGAAAACTTTCCTATCATCTCCGGTTGGTCTGCATTGCATATACTGGCTCTGGACCAGTGCTGGTCACATACAGCCTGCAAACAGTGCTTTTGGTCACACCTCTGGGTCCAAACACCATAGCCCTGTTTGCAGCAAACTGTGCTGCTCCGAGGACTGAGCCAAGGCAGGCAACACAGCCTCCCCCAACGAAGCAGCATCACCCCTCTAAAACAATCCTGGGTGTCTTCAAAACCTCTGCCCTGCTTGCACAAGGAGAAAAGCAATTGGGATGATGCTGTAACAGCTCCCTCTGCTGACTCCTGTCATAACAACGTATTGCAAAGGAAACAGCCACCAAGGCCGGTGTGATTTACAGGCTGCTGTCCTCTCTGCCTGTGGAAGGAGGGACATAGGTGTGCTCGGATAAGAATTCGGTCCAGTTGCTCTTTGGCTGGAATTTAGAATGGTGCAAATGGAGCAAGGCCAAATTCCCTCTGCCTTTTGGGTAAGGATGAGTTAAAGTTTGGAAGGGAGGGAGAAGTGCTGGAAGGAGTGGTGACGTAGTGGGGGGCTGTCTGCTCTGTAACCCAGGGTTCCCCTGCACTGTGATGTGTGACTCCCACTGACTCGCCCACAAGTGTATTAGCCCAGACACCTAGTCCCAGCCTGAGCAGTTAACAAGGCTCTTCCCAGGGGGAGAGACAAAGGATGGGAGGCAGAGACGGCCACCTGGCTGGGGGACAGGGCCTGGGAGCTGGGCAGTTTTTTTCGCTGGGAAACCATGAAGAGAACAGACTAAGCAGAGTGCTGGGAGTTCAGGGGCCAATGCACCCCTGTCCCAAGGGGTCTAGGGCTGCCAGCCCCTGACTCTTTATGTCCACATCACGTCTATGCTGTATTGTATCCTGGAGAAGCAATTAACCCCTCTATTCTATTGGCTGGCGAAGTCTCATCTTGCTGTAGATAGGGTGCAGGATCGGGGGTACCCAATGCGCCGCCTAATGAGTAGCTTTAGTTACAGATGATTCCCCAGTCCCCCACCTCAAAAAGCAATTTACAAACTCGCTGGTTTGGCACCCTTGGGACCTAACTGGTCCTGAACAAGGGGATTTGCCAGACCAGAGAAGCATAGAACACTAGGACTGGAAGGGACCTCGACAGATCATCAAGTCCAGTTCCCTGCCCTCATGGCAGGACCAAGGACTGTCTAGATCAGCCCTGATAGATGTCTGTCCAACCTGCTCTTAAATATCTCCAGTGATGGACATTCCACATCTTCCCTAGGCAACTTATTCCAGTGTTTAACCACCCTGATAGTTAGGAATTTTTTCTTAATGTCCAACCTAAACATCTCTTGCTGCAATTGAAGTCCATTACTTCTTTTTCTATCCTCAGAGGCCAAGGAGAACAATTTTTCTCTCTCCTCCTTGTAACACCCTTTTAGATACTTGAAAACTGCTATTATGTCACCTCTCAGTCTTCTCTTTTCTAAACTAAACAAGCCCAATTCTTTCAGTCTTCCCTCATAGGTCATGTTTTCTAGACCTTTCATCATTTTTGTTGCTCTTCTCCGGACCTTCTCCAATTTCTCCCCATCTTTCTTGAAATGCAGTGCCCAGAACTGGACACAGTACTCCAACTGAGGCGTAACCAGCGCAGAGTAGGGCGGAAGAATGACTTCTTGTGTCTTGCTCACAACACACCTGTTAATGCATCCCAGAATCATGTTTGCTTTTTTTGCAAAAGTGTCACTCTGTTGACTCATGTTTAACTTGTCATCCTCAATCCCTTTCAGCAGTACTCCTTCCTAGACAATCACTTCCCATTCTGTATGTATGAAATTGATTGTTTGTTCCTAAGTGAAATATTTTGCATTTGTCCTAGTTAAACTTCATCCTGTTTACATCAGACCATTTCTCTAGTTTGTCCAGATCATTTTGAATTATGATCCTATCCTCTAAAGCACTTGCAACCTCTCCCAACTTGGTATCATCTGCAAACTTAATAAGCGCACTCTCCATACCATCATCTAAACCTTTGATGAAGATATTGAACAGAGCCAGTCCCAAAACAGACCCCTGCAGAATCCCACTTACTATGTCCTTCCAGCATGACTGTGAACTGTTAATAACTCCTCTCTGAGGGTATGTCTACACTGCATTCCTCTTTCGAGACAGGAATGCAAATGCAGCCGAGCAACATTGCAAATGATGCATGGATTTGAATTTCCTGTGCTTCATTTACATAATTGCGTCTGGCCGGAGTTGCACAGCTGGGGCCGGAGCTGCACAGCCAGAGCGGAGCTGCCTGGCTCTCCAGCTGAGACTGGACCTGTGCAGCCAGGTCTGGGGTGGAGGGCCAGGACTGGAGCTCCCTGGCCATTACTGGGGCTGGAACTCCACAGATTCTGCTGGGGCCAGAACTCCCTGCTGTGCCTCCTGTTCTACACACACTGGGTTGCCAGTGCCCCCTAACGTGCTCCTGTCCCGCCACCAGACCTCTCTGTTCCTGTACTCTGTGATCCAGGCCAGACCACGGATGTTGCCGGACCAGGGAGTCCCAATTAAGGGAGGTCCAACCTGCACCGATATGTCCAACTAGTGGAACTCACTGCTGCAGGATGTCACTGCAGCCAAGAATTTGAGGAGATGAATAAAGGACAGGGCATTTGTTTCAACAGAAAGATGATCTGAAGTGTTTAGAGTCAGATTCCAGAAGTTTTCCCCACTTTGAGAGGTCTGGCTGGTGTTTAGCTCCTGTGAGTGGGATTACAGCTCCCAGCAGCCAGGTCTTCATGTTTTTTCTGTGTCTGCACAGAGAACAGAGTGCCCCTTTCCTAGCTCTCAGTCTCCTGGGGCCCTTGTTTATTCCCAGTGTCATGCTGACTTATTCTCACTGACTGAACAGCCTGCAACACGCAGCTTTTTAATTACTCTGGGCAGGTCAGACTAGCAATCAAACTGATTGGGAAAAGGCTTAATTACCCATCTCCTCCTGATCATGATGAGCCTGTGTAAACTGACTCGCCAGCCACCCACGCAGGGGTGTGTGCACCACCCACTTCTGCCCAGTAGAGGGTGCTCTTGAGACGTCTTCGGCGGCAAATCTGGCCGTGCTGCAAACCGCTGACCTCTGCTTTGCAAATCGCTTTGCCTCTGCCCTGGCCGCGCTGTGCCATGTTACCAAGAGCAGGGCTTTATTCCGGGATCGTGGCCCTTCTCGCATCTAATCATAGGTCACTTTTACGATGGCAGAGGAGCATTTGGGCTGGGAATGGATGCACAGCAGAGCTCCTAGGATCGTACAACCCAGCAGCTGAAGGACTCGTGTTGGGATCAGTTCTGGCTACTGGCATCCCGGCCTGCGCGGCCTCACCTGCAGCACAGGACAGAAACTTGGGAGACAGACACAAGGGACTGATCCCCAAGGAAACAGCAGGTTTCCTATGCTGCGATCTGCTGCTAGCCCAGAGCAGGACAATAGAAATTATCAGGGCTTCCATATGACAGAGGCTGGAAGACTAAGGCCTGTTTAGTTTAGACAGGAGATAGATTAGTGGGGATATGATTGAGCTGTCTTAATGAACGAAAATATTGGCCCAACACAGTCAGCTGAGTGCTCCTATATGTCCTCTTTTTTAATACAATGATGAGGAGGGCAGCCAGGTAAAGTAATACCCAATCTGTGGAACTCCCTGCTGCAGGTTATCACTGAAGTCAAGAGTTCGAGGGGTTTAATAAAGGATAGGGCATTTGTTTCAATAGTAAGATGATCTGAAGTGTTTAGAGGCAGATTCCAGAAGCCTTCCCTGCTTTGGGGGAAGAGTGGAGGGGACCATCTATGAGGGAGGCCCCTATGCTTTCCTGCCGTGCAAATAAATCATGTTAATTGGAGTATCTGTGAGGAAGGGCCCTAGAAACTCGCAGAGGTCCAAGAAATGATCCACCATCCCCTGTCCCTGCCCTCCTCTCCCAGCCAGCTGGACTCCCCACATGGCCCTGACTCTCTCTCTCTTTGTCCTCTCCCTCTCTCAGGCTTTAAATCGTGTGTGACTAGCGGGAGCAGCCAGGCACCCATAGCCAACGGCAAACACCTGAGAGTCCCGGCCATTATCATCACGCCTCCTACGCCCACGGGCACCATGCTGACCAGAGACGCCAGGCGGCCAGGGGAAGAGCCGCCACGCCACAACTGCTGAGCCAGAGGCTACAAGAACAGGAGCCACGCAGGGCACGAGGCACGGCCGGGGAGCACCTGAAGGAGCTGGCGCTGTGTCGCCGGCACCGTGACCAGCTTGCAGGGGAACCTCTCTGTGCCATGTGGTTCCCCCTCCCGTGTTCTTGCTTTTCACCGGGTTTATTACAGATTTATTAATGGAGCTGCAGGCTCCTCGCGACGGGGGCTGTCAGAGAGTTCCAAACTCCAGCAAACCGTGGCCTGTTCAGCCATTAGCCGGGCTGCTCCTCTCTGGGAGGGAGGGAGGAGACTGACAGCGAGGGCGGGGAAGACGGCTGGGCTGCAGCGATTTGGCTTTCCTGGTGCCAGGCTGTGGCCTCCCTTTGGCCATTTAAGTCACCCTAACAGGGCTTGTCTGGGGCCGAAGCTAACTCAAAAGCCAGGTGGAGGGTGCGTTCCCTGTCCTGGTCACCGACAGCCTTTCCACGGCTCCTGAATGGACTGGGTTCTCCTGGAGTCAGCGAGGCAGCAGGACGTGTCGCGGCCCGCCCCGCTGGAAGCCAATCGGCTCAAGTTTTGCCTGGGTGGGGTGTCAGTGGGGAAGGCGCTGAACACTACTACTAACCACAGGGGACCTCTGTGTTGCAAGCCATAGGCCAGGCTCCCGTTGTAGGCGAGGAGCGCGAGCTGGGATGGAAGGGGCCGATCCCTGTCAGCAAGTTGGACATGCAAGGTGCCAGCTCTCTCCTGATGGCCGGGAGGTGACTGCTACAGGGCTCACCCTGGCCAGACCTTCGCAGAGCCCCATGTGCATGGGCAGCACCAGGGAAACCCACGGCTGACCCAGCCACCACCTGAATGCCAGTTGTCACTGGCCATCGGCCACATGAGCCTACACATGATGCCAGCGTCACAAACAATATTTTCTGCACCAGGCTCATGCTCTTGCTTTTCTGATGTACCAGACGCTGCTGGCCAAAGGTGGGGGAATCCCAGCTTGGTCCGGAGGTGGGAAGGAAGTCTGGATCTAGTTGAACTGGGGCTGATGGGAGCCTCTGATGGGAATACACGCCTGCCATCAGTTTCTGCGTGTGGCAGCGTTGCTTCCTTGATCACTTCTTTCAGCGTGACCTGAGCGTGTGCCTTACGGGCGTAGGCACCAGGAGCCCAAGGAAGAGTCCATCTGAGCATCATGTGGCGGGGGGAGGGCTGGAGGTTGCCTAGAGGATTTGGGCGACAGGCACTCCTCCCCATCTGGACCTGTTGCACTTTCTTTGCTGCTGCAAGTGGCTAGATTGGGATGCTGTGGTGTGTGCCTGCAGCCATCTCCCCGGCATGGAATCGCTCCGCTCCCAGAAGGCAGCACGAGCCCCAACGCAGCTAGGTAGCCCTGCGTGGTTGGCTTGGATGTCGATGAAGCCTGCTTATGCTTAGGCCTTTCCTTGCCAGCACGTGGTGGCACAGCGTGGGGATGGAAGCAAATGTGAAGAGCCATGGCAGAGTCACTGTGAGCTACGGCAGGGAGAACAACCTGAGAATGCACCAACCGGACAACGGGACAGAGGAGGGGTGGGGACCATCTATCCCAGTCTATGCCACCCATGCAGGCTGGTCTCGTGCCCTTGTGGGTCCTAATCATCCCCTGCGGGTGAACAGGCATGTTTGCAAGTGGCCTGTCTTGGCAATATTTTCAAAAGGGCTCGGAGTGATTTATAAAGCGTTGCGGTTTTGTTACAAATAAAGATCTCTTTGCCCCATGGCCTCTATCCGATTGTCCATGTGTCAGACCTCCGGCACGCCCCTTGCTCCAGTGCAGTGTCTTGCCTCGTCAGAGCAGCGTCCCAGCTCAGGTGGGAAGCGGGTCCCAAACCTGAAACAATTGCGCTCGGTGACCAAAGATGGTTGTGTTCTAAAACAGGGGCATAGCTCCAGTACTGCTCCCCCCTTCCCCCAGTCCTGGCTGATCTCAGGGCACGTGGCAATAGCTCCATGGGTCAGTGTGTCTTCTCTGTGCCCGACCCACAGAAGGTGGGAGTCTTGCAGTGCTCAGCAGACCAGCCTGGCTCTTTAGCTCAAGCCCAGTGATTCATCTTGGGGGGGGGAAGGTTCTTTGCGGAGTCCCGGGCAAGGTGGCAGTCGTTACAAAAGCAGTCTTCCCGGAGGGCACTGAAACTCACCAGTCATTTGATAGAGGATGAGTGGGATCCTTGTTTTGCTCAGGGCAGAGACTCCGGAATGGAGCGAGGCCCCAGAACTGTCTGACCTGAAACAGAAAATGAGAGACGCGGGTATGCAGCCGAGTTTTCCCCTTCCATGCCCACTGGCGCCCCGTCGGGCTTTCACCTCACCCTGGGGAACATTCTCCACATGGATCACCACAATGGAGCTTGTCTGGGCTGTTCTGCTCTTCCTCCGTGGGCCGCCGGCTCCACTAGTGTGAGCAGGAAATGAGCCCATGGGGGGAGAGTGGAAGAGCAGGCTCAGCTCTGCCCTGGGAAAAAGATGGGAGAAGCAACCGGACCTCCAGGCGCCGTGAACTCCTCAGAATGCAGCAGGCCCTAGCTAAGCTAATCCGGCTTCTGAAGACTTCCCCTCCTTTGATGTCCACTCCCCCCAACCTCCTCCACAGCCACTTTGCTTCTGTGCCGAGCTACTGCCGCCTCCGACCCCTGTGGGGGTGCTCACGTGGCCATTGGCAGGCCGGTCAGGCCAGGCACCGCCAGAGTGCCCTTGGAAGAGGACAAGATGGCCGTCTCCACCAGGCCCGCCAATGGGGGAGCGGAAAAAGGGACAATTAACCAGGAGCCCAGCAATTTAAAAGGGCCTGGGGGCACCAGCAGCTGCCGCAGGAGCTCTGCTGAAAGGCGTCTCTAAATTCGAAGAGGCTTTTGATATTTCCCAGGCGGGTTCTCAGGCTGGATGACGGAACCCAGAGACGCTGCTGTGGTTCTCCCCAGAGAAGGCAGCGCGGGTCCGGAGAAGGGAGGGGAGGTGCAGCGTGACTGTCTTGAGGTTTATCCCAGCAGGTAGAGGAAGGGGCTAAGCCAGTTCAGGGCTCTCCTGGCAGAACAAGGGAGAGTTGGGGCTTCTCTGGATGCGGGGAGGGAGGGGCTGTGGCTTGTGGCCATAGCTGACAGAGGGAGACATGGGGCCCATTGATTTCTGCCCTGGGGCCCAGAATTGCTGTTAGTGGGCCTGGCCTCCACCAGGACTAATCATAGAGGCCTTCTGCCTTATCAAATAACCATCTCAGGCAATTGGTTTCAGCGTGGTTGGGTTTTGCAGTGTAGATGGGCCATACCCTGTCTTAACCATGTCACCAAATCGTGCCACTGCCTTGCTTTGTCCCACCGCTGCACCGTGTCCCATTTGTGCTACAATATGCAACCAGGACACTGGAGGGCAACAGTGTTTGTTATCAATGGACCCCTAATCGGTTAATTTTTATGGTACAGCTATGCCCTGACACAGTACCAGAGCCACATTGATCCCTGCCAGCAGGAAAAGATCAGCGCTGTACCAGGTTCTACAAGCTGAGTGAGCACAACAGCTGTGCCCATCACTACTCGTATGCAGGCACCATGGAGCACGTCAAGTCATTAGGTAAGGGAAGGAGCTCCCCAATAGGCTTAGGGAGATGGAAGCTCCCACCTTCCCCGACCTATCTGTCTTGGAGCTTATCACTGGAGTGTAGTTGTCACCTCAGCCAGGGGAAAAATAAGGTCTTAACTGGGCTGGGGACCCACCGAAGGGAAGAGTTAAAGCACACACGCAAAGGATTGTGGGAGGCATTATGTAAATTTCATAGAGGCTGAAACAACTGTGCTACGGTAGCAGAGATGAGGCCCCTTCGAGGATGGGAGAATGTACAAGTGTCAATGTTGCCTGCATGGCCAGTTGTCAGAACTCAACCGCGGTGTTCAAACAAAAGGTATATGCAGGGTCTTGTCCAGGAGGACAGGGGCTGGGATGAGGAGGAGGAAGAGGCCAAGGAGCTGAGCGTAGCTGACGGGGTCCACATCTGATTCAGGAAAAAACACTGTGTTATCTTCAAGGCGAGTGTAGGGGAACGTCTTCCAGACCCTCCTGAAAACTCTCCTTTGTGTGTTACCCATAGGTAGCAGAACCCCGAAGGACCCTACAGTCTGCCAGGAAGCCAGCCTGGCTCAACTCGCCACGCTGAGTGCAATTGTAACCCCATTTGCTGTCAGCATTTGTGGCTAATCGGAGTTCCAGGGCCACTGGGGTGACTGGCCACCGGGTTCGCCACAGGGAGTCATAGAATCATAGACTCCTAGAGCTGGAGAGATCTCAGGAGTCATCGAATCCAGCCCCCTGCCCAAAGCAGAACCAATCCCAACTCAATCACCCCAGCCAGGACTTTGTTGTGCTGGGACTTAAACACCTCTAGGGGTGGAGATTCCACCCCCTCCCTAGGGAACCCGTCCCAGTGCTTCCCCACCCGCCTAGGGAAATAGTTTCTCCTAATCTCCAACCGAGACCCCACTCCCCCACTGCAACTTGAGACCATTGCTCCTCATTCTGCCATTTGTCACTCCTGAGAACAGCCTCTCTCCATCCTCTTTGGAACCTCCCTTCAGGAAGTTGAAGGCTGCTCTCAAATCCCCCCTCACTCTTCTCTCCTGCAGACTAAATAAGCCCAAATCCCTCAGCCTCTCCTCGTAGGTCATGTGTTCCAGCCCCCTAATCATTGTGGTTGCCCCCTGTTGGACTGTCTCCAATGCGTCCACATCCTCTCTGTAATGGGGCCCTCAGAATTGGACGCAGTACTCCAGATGTGAATGCTGAATAAAGGGGAATAATCACGTCTCTTGGTCTGCTGGCAATGCTCCTGCTAATGCAGCCTAATATGCCGTTAGCCTTCTTGGCACGCCCTGTTGACTCCTATCCAGCTTCTCATCCACCGTAATGCCCAGGTTCTTTTCTGCCGAAAAAGCCACACGTGGTCTGGTAAAGTCTTCCATGCAGGGAGGTTCTGCAGCCGCTGCAGCGGAGACGATGCACCGGAGAGAAGCACCCGAGTAAATAAAAAGGTTGTTGCGCTGGCTGCACACCTGATCCGGTCTCTGTTTGACGGCCACTCTCAGAATGAACCTGACTCAGAGACCCCGAGGCTGCACTGCCGTTTGCTGTCAGCCACTGTGCACACGTCTTCCTCTGATTTCCAGTCACCTTTCCTCCCCCGTTTTCGTTCCAAGCTTTTAGTGCCCATAGCAACGGCCAGGCGAGAGCTGGGGTGCAATGAGGGGAGAAAGGAAAGGCCTGGGCTGGCCTTCCCTCTGCTACCTTCTTAAGAACCTGCTACTGCCAAGCTTAATATTGAGTCTTGGCCCAAGGCTGGAGGAAACAACCCTGCTGCCGGACCTTCACAGGCGCACCCCCCCTAAATTGGCTGACGTTCCCAGTCTGGATCAGCAGAAGCGGTGAGTGGCTCAGCAGCTTTGCTCCTTGCTCGGTGTGCTTCTCAGCTCTTGCAAGCGGAGCAGGGCCGCTGAGTCAGGAATCCAAGAGGAGCCATGGGATGCAATGTGGACAACTCAGCAGAGGACGCTCTTTCCGTTGAATTAGTGATGAACCAGTGCCCTGGTCTCATCTCGGGTGATGCCTTGCTGCCGGAGGCGCTGTCTTTTCAGAGACACAAAGCTAATCACTGGGCCCGTTTGGCGGCAGGGGCAGTAGCCCTGCTTCCGTATTGCCAGTCTGTCATTCTAAACCCCCCCTGCAGTTCAAATGAGATGCATAGTTCCATTTCACTGCCTGTCCAAACTCGGTGGTGGTGTTTTGCTGCACTGTTAAGCCGCACCCGTGTTCCACCCCAGCAGTGGGTGCATTGCAGCAAGGGGCGAAGTGATTCCCCGATCTCTACTGTAGAAGGTGTAATGGCTTTGAGCTCCAAGTTCCTCTAGAAATGCAAGATGCTGTGCATTCTGATCAAAACACAGTGCATCTCTCTTCTCCTACTTTGTATCATCAGGGATGCTTGCATGGGAACTAGAACATTGCGTCTTAAATATCTGACGACTCCTGTTGTTCATTCCCCATGTGATTTCGTGCCCATTGTGGTTGTGAGCATTGTGTTGTTCCCTAGGGTCACTGAGCCTTTACTAGGGAAGAAGCTGCAGTCACTTACACATTCTCAAGGTACTAAGACCCTGTTTTCCTCCACGTGTGTAAAGAGCAGGGGGGAGAAAGGCAGAAAATAGACTCCAGTGTTGATACAGAGTTTATCCTTGTTTTCTTTGACCTGTCGGCTGTCATGCATGAATCCATGGATACCCTGAATTTCAGGCTTCTACCCCACAATTGTGCTTATCGTCAGAAACCTACACAAAATGGATGCTGCTAAGAGCCCTGAGCTTCCCCATATTGTTATTTTCCTGCACCTAACAGTCTCCATGTGGGTTTACAGCCGCTTTATAATAAACCTCCTGGGTTTTCATGTGATATCTTTCTGGAGCAGAGGCTGCTCTTGCTTAGTGTCTATTCAGAGCCAGGCACCATGTAGGTGCTGCTCTAAAAGAGGAGAGGAGGGAAGGGGGATGCTGTGGTCGGAACAGGAAGCTCGTGGGTTGGAAGGCCAGGATTCAGTTCTCTGCTTGGTCAGTCACATACCATCTGGGTGACTTAGTCTCTTTCTGCCTCGGCACTGCCGTGCCTTATAGGGGGTGTGGTGAGAATAAACCCAGGATAGATGGGGACGTATCTAGTCTTGATTACAACGCAGGCTATGTAAGCA